CTGAAGAATACACATTCTTTTCAAATGCACAAGGAACATTCTCCAGGATATATCACATTCTAGGTCACAAAACCGGTGTCAATAAACTTAAGAAAATAGAAATCATATCAAGCATCTTTTTTGATCACAGCAGTATAAAAGTAGACATCAATACAGGAAGAAAACTGGAAAAACATAAACACATGGAGACTAAACAGCATGCTACTAAACAACCAACAGAACAACAAAGAAATCAAAGAGGAAATAAAAAAATACTTGGAGACAAATGATAATGGAAACACAAAGATCCAGAATTTGTGGGACTCAGCAAAATCAGCTTTAAGAGGGAAGTTCATAGCAATACATGCCTTCCTCAGGAAATAACAAAAAAAAATTCAAATTAACAACCTAATTTTACATCTAAAGGAACTAGAAAAAGAAGAACAGACAAAGCCCAAAGTTAGTAGAATGGAGATAATAAAGATGAAAGTGGAAGCAGAGCCCTAAAAAATAGCAAAGAGCAACAAAACTAAGAGCTGTTTTTTTGAAAAGATAAAAAAAATTGATGAACCTTTAACCAGTCTCATCAAGAAAAATGAGAGGGCCCATATAAAATCAGAAATAAAAGAGGAGAAGTTGCAATGGATACCACAAACATACAAGCAATCATAAGAGACTACTACAAACAATTACATGCCAACAAGTTAGACAACCTAGAAGCAATGGACAACTGCTAGAAACATACAGTCTTCCAAGACTGAATCACGAAGAAATAGAAAATCTGAATAGATCAATTACTAGTATCAGTAATCAAAAACTTCCAAGGAAAGTCCAGGATTAGATGGCTTCACAGGGAGTTCTACCAAACATTTAAATAAGAGTTACTACTTACTCTTCTCAAACTATTTGAAAGAACGGAAGAAGAGGGAACACTCCCAAACTCAATCTACGAGGCCAATATTACCCTGATACCCAAATGAGACAAAGACACTACAAAACAAGAGAAAATTACAGGCCAATATTCCTAATGAACATAGGGGCAAATATCCTTAACATCATGATCAAGTAGGATTTATTCCAGGGATGTAAGGATTATCCCATATCCACATATCAATCAGTATGATACACCACATGAACAAAACAAAGGATAAAAATCACATGATATCTCAACAGATTCAGA